TTTGTTTTTGAAATTAAATTGTATAATAATAATTCAAATTTCTTTTATATCCATTTGTGGTTTCTAACTTGTCCTGGATTATTTGCTTTAAGACTTTATACCATATGTACAAATATTCACCATACAAACTGAGTTTTTAGAGGAGCAAAATAAGTCATTTTATTAGAGGACTTTGATTTTTAAGAAGTATGTTTGGAGTTAAAATTTTATGTTGGACGATGACATCTGCTGGCAGAGGCATAATATTGTACGTAGCTCAGCTTGATGAGAGTCTGTAAAATGACCCCTTGAAAAGAAGGAATAGGAGCTATTGCATTTCAAAGTTAAAATATTCTAGATAAGAGTACCTTTCCATTTAATTTATTATAAAATTATATTTGTAATAAGAAGTAATACTTGCTTTACAGGGATCTATTAACCAGCGCTTTTTTTTTTTGGTAACTCATTTGTTCAGATTGTGAATACAACAATTACTGCTTTTGGTTTTAATCACCTCTTGTTCAGTGGTATATTATCATCAGATAGCAATATTTATGGATAATGAAGTATTTACTTAAGAGTTTGCAGCTATCTGATGTTATAACATTTAATGAATTTTTACTGTGTACTGTACATTGATTTAAGAACTAGGCAAGTGTTTACTTCTTACAACAGTCTTAAAATTTTTTTTAGAGTTTTTTAAAAAAATTTTTAGTTGTAGATGGACACAATACTTTTTTTGATTGATTTATTGTTATGTGGTGCTGAGGATCGAACCCAGTGCTTCCATGTGCTAGGCAGGCACTCTACCACTGAGCCACAACCCCAGCCCTTAAAATACTTTTTTAATTACCATTTTTCTAATGAGGAAAAGGAAGTCAATAAAAGCTAAGCAATTTGCTCAAGGTTACTCAGTAAGTGAACTTTTGAAATTGATATCTGTTGAGTAGTACTATATAGAAAACTTTTTTTTTATTTATTAGTTTATTAATACCAGGTTTCTATTTTGTATAATCCCTTGGTCCCTTTCCTGTGCTAATCTCCCTCTGATTTTCATGGGATTTCTCCCCCTCTTCCTGTTTCTTTAGTTTCCATGTGAGAGAAAACATATGACCCTTGACCATCTGAGTTTAACTTATTTAATAATTTGACATAATACTATCTAGTTCCATCCATTTTACTGCAAATGACATAATTTCATTTTTCTTTTATGACTGAATAAAACTCCATTGGGTATATATACCACATTTTCTTTATCCATTCATCCATTGATGGACACCTACACTGATTCCATAGTTTGGCTATTGTGAATTGCAATGATATAAACATGGGTATGCATGTATCATTGTAGTGTGATGGCTTTAATTCTTTAGGATGAATATTGAGGAGTGATACAGCTGGCTCATGGTTTCATCTCTAGTCCTTGGGGAAACCTTCATACTGATTTCCATAGTGGCTGTGCTAATTTATAATCCCACCAACAGTATAAAAGTGTTCCTTTACTTTCCATATCCTTGTCAGCATTTATTATTATTTGTATTCTTGATGATTACCATTCTGACTGGTGTAAGATGTAATCTCAGTGTAGTTGTTATTTGCATTTTCCTAATTGTTAATGATATTGAACGCATTTTCATGTATTAATCATTTTATTTTTTTTATTGAGAAGCATCTATTTAGTTCATTTGCCCATTTATTAATTGGGTTATATGATTTTATTGGTGCAAAAGTTTTTTGAGTTCTTTACATATTCTAGATGTTAATCTTCTGTCAGAAGAGTAGCTAACAAAGATTTTCTCCCATTCTGTAGGTTTTCTCTTCATATTCCTAATTGTTTCCTTTGCTGTGCAGAAGGTTTTGAATTTGATGCCATCCCATTTATTAACCTTTGGCATTATTTCCTGAACTTTAGAGGTCCTATTGAGAAAGTTGTTGGAGTGTTGACCCTGTGTTTTCTTCTAGGAGTTGCATAGTTTCTGTTCTAATTCCTAGATCTTTTCATCCATTTTGAGTTAATTTTTGTGCAGGGTTAGAGATAAGGGTGTATTTAATTCTTCTACATAGGGATAACCAGTTTTCCCAGCACCATTTGTTTAAAAGATCTTATGTTTAAAAATACTCCTATGTATGGCACTTTTGTCAAGGATCAGATAACTGTTTCTATGTAGTTTTGTCCCTGTGTCTTCTATTGTAACATTGGTCTCTGCGTTTGTTTTAATGTCAGTACCATGCATGTTACTATAGCTCTGCAGTATATTTCAAAGTCAGGTATTGTGATGCCTTCTGCACTGTTTTTTGTTTGTTTGTTTGTTTGTTTTTTGGGGGGGCTTAGAATTGCTTTGGCTATTCTGGGTCTTTTATTCTTCCAATTGAGTTTTAAGACTGTTTTTCTAGTTCAGTGAAGAATGTCATTGGTATTTTGATGGGAATTGCATTGAATATGTATATTCTTTTTGGTAGTATGGCCACTTAATAGTATTATTTCTGCCTGTCCATGAGTATTGAAGGTCTTTCCATTTTCTGAGTTCTTCAATTTCTTTCTTTTTTTTTTTTTAATATTTTTAGTTGTAGATGTACACAATACCTTTATTTTTATATGGTGCTGAGGATTGAACCTAGTGCCTCACATGTGCAAGGCAAGCGCTGTACCACTGAGCTACAGCCCCAGCCCCTTTTTCAATTTCTTTCTTCAGTTTTCTGTAGTTTTCTTTATAGAGGTCTTCCACCTCCTCGTTTACATTTATTCCTAGGTATTTTATTTTCTTTGAGGCTATTGTGAATGGAATTGTCTTCCTGATTTCTTTCTCAGATTCATTGTTGATGTATAGAAAACTAATTGATTTTTGTATGTTGATTTTGTAACCTGCTACTTTGCCAAATTTATTAGCTTAACAGTCTTTTAATGGAGGTTTTTGGACCTTCTAAGTATAGGATCACATTACAAACAGCGATAATTTCACTTTTCTTTCCTATTTTTATCCCTTTTATTTCTTTCTCTTGCCTAATTGCTGTTGCTTGAATTTCTAGCACAATATTTTAAATAGGATTGGTTAAGAGTAGACATCCTTGTCTTGTCCCAGATCTTGAAGGAAATACTTTCAGTTTTTCCCCATTTACTATGAATTTGGCTTTGATTTTTTCATATATAGCCTTTATATGTTGAGGTAGGTTCTTTCTATCTCTTTTCTTCAGTGTTTTTATTATAATGGATGCTAAATTTTGTCGAAGGCATTATCTGCATCTATTGAGGTGACTGTGATTTTTGTCTTTCTATTTATGTGTTTGATTACATTTATTGATTTACATGTATTAGACCATCCTTGCATATCTGGAACAAAACCAACTTTGGACCTGGTATACATTCTTCTCATGTTATTTTATTAAGAATTTTTTATCTAAGTTCTTCAGGGATACTGGGTTGTTGTTTTATTTCTTTGATGTGTCCTTATCTGGTTTTGTTATGAGTGTGATACTGGCTTCCTAGAATGTATTTTTGGTAGTGTTTTATCTTATGGAATAATTTGAGGAGTATTGACATTAGTTCTTCTTTAAAGGTTTGTTTGGTAGAATTCATCTGAGAATCCATCTGGTCCTGGGGTTTTCTTTGTTGGAAGCTTTTTATTATTGCTTCTATCTCAATACAGGTTATTGGACTGTTTAGGTTTTCCATTTATTTCTTCTTGATTCAGTTTTGTAGATCATATTTGTCTAGAAATGTATCCACTTCTTCTAAGTTTTCCTATTTATTGAAGTGTAAGTTTTCAAAATCGTCTCTAATGATCCTCTGTATTTCTGTGATGCCTTTTTTAAAAAAAATCTCTAATTATATTAAAATGGATTTTCTCTCTTTTCAGTTAATTTTAAGGGCTTATAAATCTCGTTTTTTTCCTCAGAACCAATTCTTCCCTTTCATTGATCCTTTGAATTTTTTTTTTTCATTCTCAATTTCATTGGTATCAGCTCCGATCTTTATTATTTTCTTCTTTCTAATGGTTTGGAATTAGTTTGTTCTTTTTCAAGGGCCTTGAGATGCATCATTAGGTTGTTTATTTGGGATCTTTCTGATTTTCTTATGTAAGTACTTACTCATAGCTATAAATTTTCGTCTTGGAACTCCCTTCATAGTGTCCTAGAGGTTCTGGTATGTTGTATCACTATTCTTGTTTGAGTCTAAGAATTTTTAAATTTCTCCCCTGATTTCATCTATCACCCATTCATCATTGAAAAATATATTGCTCAGGATGCTGCAGTTGTGACTCAGTGTGAGCACTTACCTAGCATGTGTGAGGCACTGAGTTTGATCAGCACCACATTTAAATATAAATAAATAAAATAAAGATATTTAAAAAGGGATTGGAGATATGGCTCAGTGATTAAGTGTCCCTAGTACCAAAAAAGAAGAAAAAAAAAAAGGAAACTTTAAAAAAAAAGTATATTGTTCAATTTCCATGTTTTCAATCTCCATGTGTTTATATAACTTCTGTAGGGTCTTATCATGTTGGTTTCTAATTTCATTCCATTTTGATCTGATAAGATACAAGGAATTAATATCTTTTTTTTTTTTTTTGCATTTGCTAAGTGTTGTTTTTGGCGTATTATTTCACTCTTACTGATTGATCTCAAAACTCCTAATTTTTTAATTGTTAAAGCATCAGGATTATTATATTCTGTCTTTTTTATTCCCTTTTCCCCTGAGACTGTAGACTGGACTAGGAACTAAGTGAAGGATTTTAGAATACAATACCCTTAAGACAGATATTGTAATTGAAGGAGAGGTTTTACAAAGAGCATTTAGTGGGGACTATTAAAGAATTAGCATAAATTTTTGACTGGAAAAAGCTTAATTCACCACTTTCAAAAATAATTCAGGTGTTTTTCTTTAGGGAATAATAGTGTTAAAGCCCTTCTGTAAAATGTGTGATGAATTGAACTACTTTTGAAAGTCCTTTTTTCCCCTAAGATGTTATGGTAAATGTTTTTGAGGAATCATATTACAAGAACTTTTTTCCTTTTTCCATTAGTATCTTCAGATAATAAAAAGCAGATACTTAATGAAGCTTCTGCTGGAAGTGAAAGAGACACATCAAGCATAGCACAAGATTGGTCATTACAAGATCATTATAGAATGTATTCACCAATAATATACCAAGCCCTCTGTGAGCATGTGCAGACTCAGATGTCAATGATGAGTAACTTGGCTTCGAAGAATTGTTCTAATGGAATTCCTGCTACACCTTGCCATACTGAGTCTGGTTCTGGTTAGTATGAATGATGTTTTTAAAATACTGGATGTAAACTGTGATTAAATTGTTTCGTTATTATATAAGCAATGCGATATGTGAATGACTTTTCCCTCCTCTTACTTTTTAGAATATCAGGCAACATCACGTTCTGGTTATGGCTGTTCTACCTCTACCCCAGCCTGGTCACCTCAGCGGCTGCCCTGCCCTCCAGTGGTTCATTCTGTGTGTACAGTTTTTATATTACACAAGTGATAGTTTGCTTATAGAAATTGGCATCTTAGGAGTGAATATTGAATTTTATTAATTCTTAATGTGCTAGTATGTAAAAAACAATTATTTTTTCAAGTTATTTTTTTATTAGAAAAGTTTGACCTCTTTTTTTTAGAACAATAGCAAGAATGAGGGGAAGAAATCAGTAGAAAAAAGAAATCAACCATACCCATCAACCAAGCACAGCTGCACTCTGATATAGTACTTTTGAGTCATTTAATTATCTTTGTAGGTTTTGTTTTCTGTTTATTTGTTAAGCTTGCTTTCTTTTTAAAATAAGAGTTATAATTAAATTTATAGCTTTAAATATGCTTTTCATTTATTACAAGCATGTTTATATCTTTTCTGAATAAGTAGTTAATGCTGTATTTTGTGGATATACTATAGTTCAACTACATATGTATTTAAGTAACAGCCAATTTTTTTCTGTAATATTTCTGTGAGTATATTTATGCAAAGGCTTTTTGTATGTTTGTGCTTCTTTTCTTTTTTTTTAATTTTTTTTTTTTTTTAGTTGTAGATGGGCACAATACCTTCTTTTTATTTTTATGTGGTGCCAGGGATCAAACCCAGTACCTTACGCATGCTAGGCAAGCGCTCTACCACTGAGCCACAACCCTGGCCCCTTGAGCTTATTTTCTTACAATGCAATTTCCCAATTTGCAAATGTTTGTTTTGATCCAAAAGTGGACAAATTTTTGCTGCCTCTAAAGTATGTAAACAATCTATTTTAGTCATAACCTTATAATGTTCTCATATTGCAAACTAGAATCTTTATAGTAAACTGGAGAAATCCAGCTTGCTTTTAAGCTGAAAATAACAGAAAGTTAGTTTCTAATATTTGAAAGCTATTTTCTAATATTTTTCATTTGAGTTTGTTATAATTAATCCCTCCACTAAGTGAATGCTCACAGTTTTGATGGCTTTTTTTTTTCCCTTGCTTCAGGAAGTCCAAACTGATGATGATAACCAGTTGGCATCACAAAGTAAAATAATCTCTGTGAACTATTCTGATGGCCCAAGGAATTCATTTAATATCAGTCCTGGAGTTCCATGTGGCTTGCCCCAAACTGACAAAGCGGCTATTCCAACATTTCAGCAGCCAAGTCTTGCTAATTGGATTCTGACACAAAAAGAAGTTCCTAAGGAAGCAGACCTACTAAAGTGTTTTCAAACACATATGTCTCTGTTTCAATCTCATGAAAAAGAAACTCTTCCGGACAGTCAGACACACCGAAGCTCCACTCAATCACAGCTAGCTTTCTTGGCCACTAATGAAGAAAGATGTGCCAGAGAACAAATTGGAGAGGCCACAAATGAAGGAAAGTATTTAAACATACATGTGCAAGATACAAAAACAGTCAAGGATGTACAGAAGGCAAAAAATGTGAACCAGACTGCTGACAAAGTTAGAACTATAAAATATTTGTTGAGAGAACTCAAGGCTCTGGTAGCAGAACAAGGTAGATGAGTACTTTCTTCATACTACATACTTATTACCATTCCTATTTTGTATAGTATGGTATTGTGCTAAATAGCTGTGTCATATTGTCTAGCTATGATTCAAATTTAGAATAATTTCCCTGAAGTTTGTGGTGTTTTTCATGGAACTATGTCTTGAACTAATAAGGAAATTTCTGTGGTATTCTTATTTTTTTAGGTTTTGATCTCTTCTTTCCTATGAATTTGAAACATGTTGGAAAATAGTAAGCATTCAAAGTTTTGCTTGCAAGTGTGTATTCATTCCATTTGATCCAAATGGATCCTGAAAAGATTCAGTTAAAGAGAATTTGTAGAGATAAAATTAGAGTGGTTAGAAGACCCCTTAAAATGATTAACTCTATGAAGTAGATTGCTTAATTTTCCTATTTAAAAAAGACACAGAGATTTCCTTCCCATTATTTCTTTAATAACTATTATATTGTTCATCAAATTGCACTTTGAGAAGTAACCCAAACCTCTTTTCAGTTTGGTTTTAGGATTTTTCTCTTAAAAATAATGTCTTTGAGCCAGGGTGTATTTAATTGAGAGAGAGAGATATATATAACCCTGCCCGCCCCCCCCCCCCCAAAGTAAGGCTTTGCTTTGAATGAGTTACAAATTTGTTATCATGAAAAATATGGTAATTGATTATGGAAGTAATGACTGAATATATAACATTTGCAGACAGACATACTCATAATCATAAAATACTGCAGGAACAGCCACATATTTAGCAAATTAAAATTGCTGTGTTTTCAGACGATCAAATTATTACTCTTCTCCTAACCAAATACTTAATCATAATAATGATAATAATAATGATATTACTTATCACTCTTTTATACTTACTTTGTGCCTTGTGCTATATTTTTCATGAATCACTTCATTTAATCTTCACAGCAACCCTGTGAAGTTCCATCATTTCCCCATTTTACAGATGAGTATATTGAGGCTTGGAGAACAGCATTTCATTTAATCTTCTGAACTACCCAGTGAGGTATTGTTATTACTTCCATTTAATCATGAAGAGACCCAGGCTTCAAGAGTTAGTAATTTAGATGCTGGTCAAAGGATACAAAATTTCAGATAGGAGGAATAAGTTCAAGAGATCTATTGTACAACATGGTGAATATAATTAATAAAAATGTATTGCATTCATTAAAATTGCCAAGAGAATGCTAGTGTTCTCATTACAAAAAATAAGTATATGAAGTAAAGCTACCCATTCCACAATGTATACATATTTTAAAACATATTGTATGTGATAAATATATGCTTATTGGTCAATTTAAATGCATTAATCTTTTTAAAAGATTAATTTAGTTTTTAAAAAAGAGTCAAGTGATTTGACTAAGGCTATAATCTAGGAAGGGATAAGGCCCCAGTCTGTCCCTTGAAAATTCATAAGCAAACACAGTCAGTCTACAGTGACTATAGAAGATGGCTCAGTGATTGGATATAGTTGTTTACTATGTACATGTATTTTTCATTAGGATGTTAAAATGTTTGTGGAGTTGAATAAGTTTTTGTAATTTGAATATACTTTCAACCTATTGAATGTTTTGATATTGGTTAATAGGTCATTTTAAATATTCCCAGTCCACAGAAAATTTGAGAATTAAGAAACAAAAATAAAAAGGACAAAAAAGCTAATGTACCTGTATCTGTTTGCTACTTCTTAAAATATTTACTATGCACAATTAATAACCAAAATGTTAGAATTGTGGCTGGCTGTATTAAATCTATTTTATAAAATCAAATAACGAAACTTAGCAAGCCATCCCTCAGTATTTGCAAAATGAGTCACGTAAAATAAATTAATTTTTGTAACAGGATCAGTTAATTTTTATAACATGAATTTTTCATGTTTGTACTGTATTCAATTTTAGGAAACCCTATAGCACTCAGAAGTCCACTATAGACCTTTGATAAGTGTGAATTAGGAGATATGTGTAAACTACTGTCCTCCTTGACTCAAATGAAAAAATATAAGCTATTGATTTAAGATTAACCTTTAATTTACTAGATTTAATTTCTTTAGAATTTTTCTAAGTAAGCAGGAAAGAGGAAAATGGGATTTGTATATAAATTCATAAATAATTGAATTAAAATGTATTTATAGCCAAGTATGAACATACCTATAAAGATTTTCTTTTATAGTTATATGTACCAATGGGCTTGTCCAAAATCAGTTTAAAATATTGATTTTACTCATTTCTTTTGTCTCTTATAGAGGATTCAGAAATTCAGAGATTGATAACAGAAGTAGAAGCATGTATATGTGGGCTTCCAGCAGTAAGTGGAAACAGAAATATTCAAGTTGAAATAGCACTGGCTATGCAGCCATTGAGAAGTGAAAATGCTCAGTTACGAAGGTAATTGCTCTTCGAATATTTTTGTGTGTAAGTAAAGATGTCCCATAGTTAGAATGAAGGTGCCCAATGGAAAAATCTAGGACTTCATAAGAAAAATTGATTTGCTGTCTTACTGTATTCCACTTTTTTCCAAAGATTTCTAGGATTTTCTAACTAACTTTTCCATTACTTTGTCTACTAATACCTATTTTCTTCCACCTTTTTTAAACCTCTGTCACCTGGTTTAGTGTATAGACAAGATAATTCTACTGTAACATGTCTAAATCTCAGAGGCATAGTACAGAAATGTTTAGTTCTCCCTCACTGCAAGACATCGTGGGTCACTGGAGATCTTTTTCATCTTTTGACTCAGGATCTAGGTTCCTTTTACCTCATGAAACCACAGTGTCAGTGTGTGTTTTCTAGGAAAAAGAGAATATGGATATAGCCATGGGGCATTCTTATATGCCATGGACCACTTAATATTTTGTAGGCTAAAACAAGGTACATGGCTCTTCCTAACATAATGTTCGAAGCACATAATTTTTCCAGACTTCCATATTTCTAGAAAGGAAAGTAGAACCTGATATGAGTAAGTATGTAACCCTATCACATTTGAACATAGGGGAAAAAATTCATTTAAATTCTTGGATTTATTTTTATTTTTGGCCATCTTAACATTTTGGAATAATTGTTTAAGAAAGATGTAAATCAGGGATCTTATCTCAAAATGTAGAAGAAATCACCCACATATTAATAATATCCTAACTTTGAATCTTTTGGTGATGACCAACAGGGCCAATACTCCAGTGTCTATTAATATACTTCACAGAGAATTAGAGTACATTTACTTCCAGGTGCTTCCGCAACACTACAATGTGAATGTGTCCTGAGTGTTACAGTTGCAGGAGCTTTAATCATTGTATAAGATGGGATTTTAGGGACCTGCACAGATTTTTTAAGAAACTGGAAAGCAAAAAAAATAGGATTTTTGGTTGGAGAATAGCTTAATTTTATTGATTGGATTCTAAACAGGCGAGATACCTAGTGAGATTTACTTTCTTAGTGTTATTTTTCTAGAAATCTTGTGTGTGTGTATGTAAAATATCTGATACTTGATAGACTCGCCAAGTTTAAATTCTGTCATCAGTCCTGACATAAGGGATTCTATAACAATGTTAATTTTTCAAAACCAAGACTAAATAATAATGGTAATGAACAGCAGCTACATTTAGGTCAGGCTACTGTCTTTTTTTTAAAATTTTTTTTACTTTTAGTTATACATGGACACAATATTTTTATGTGGTGCTCAGGATCGAACTCGTGCCTCACATGTACGAGGCAAGCGCTCTGCCAATGAACCACAACCGCAGCCTGAGGCTATTGTCCTTTATATGTGTCATCTCTAAATCTTCACAGTGTTCTATGAGTAGATATTGCTATTCTCATTTATACATGGGGAAATCAAAGCAAACGGTATGTAATTTGCTCAAGATCAAATAGCTAAGAAATGTTGAATTCTTGTTGGAATCAAGACTCAAATCCAAGGCAATTAGGTTTTAGAGAGAAGAATTCTAACTTATTGACTTATATATTGCCTCCACTAGGAAATAGAGATTCATTTACCTATCACTATTTAGGTGTATTATTTGAAACGAAAGAGTCATACTATAAGCCAGTCAAAATAAACATGCATATTATTTAAAGCAATGATTATCAAAGGATTGTTTTCTTAAGCATACTGTAAGTTAATCTCAGAATATTATGTATTTTAACATTGTCACCATGGAAATATCAGTAATTCTTATTTATTTTTGTTCCTTAGAGCATTTTATAAATCTACTATTTTGCTAATTTATAAGCTACTCAAGGAAATGAGGCTTATTATTTTATTGGCTGCCAATTATTTTTAATTTTTTTTAAAAGATATTAAGCTAATTGATGACTAATCTAATTCTTTAGACTTGGTACTAGAGCTTTTTAGGCCTTCTTTCCTTAAAGGGCAATGACTATATAGAATGTTCTTGTCACTGTTTTTCACTTGACCTTTTCAAAGATAAAATTACTGAAAAATGAAGAATTGGTCAGATATGTAATTTGCTCCTTTTAGTGGAATGAGGTTTCAAGTAGCAATGTAGGGATTTTTGTGCTGCTTCATAATCTTTATTTGGAATCATTCATAATTACAAATAAAACTAGAATGTATAAGCTCATTCAGAAATGATTTTCAATCAAAAAAAAATTTTATGTTTAGACATTGGGAAACAACATGTTTTTTTGTAGACCCAAGTGACTCCCCCATCCCAGAACTTTCTCAAAGTTTATTGACATCTTGTGGTTTAAAAAAAAAAAAAAAACATTGTTTCTATGGAATCTTGACATTTTGAATTGGACAGTTTTTATGTGAGACATGGAACAGTTGTCCAGTTTTTAGCTTTCCTGGTCCCCACCCATAAAATGTCTGTAGAGCCCCTTTTATTTTGACCGCTAAAACCCTGGAACATTCCCAAATATCTTGGGTGGGAGCTGGAGGTAGGATGTCGCGACCCCTCGCCAGCAAGGGAAAACACGACACAGGATTCTTCTTTCAGCAGTTTATTCAGGCCTTGATTTAAGTATCATCTTCTAGTGACCCCCCGCGGAGCGCCCAAGCACAGCCTAATAAAGCCTCCCGCATACCAATCCCAAGCTGCCCCGTGGATCTCTCTCATAGGGTGGTAAGGGATTGCATGCCAATTCTCCATATAAGGAGTTGTTTATCACAGGCCACAGTGGAAGCCGGCGCCATCTTCTAATGGCGGCCACGGTCTATGAGAATGGCTTACCACAGTAGGATATTACTTATTATTAAGTACTGTCACACTAGGAAAGCCTTAATATTTATAAGGCAACTTAGATTTTAAGACCACTTCCTGAATGTAAACTCAAATAGAAGACCACCAGTAGGCTCACACAGAACAAAAAAATGATGGGTGGCATTAAGATTTTCTTATCTTTATAATTTGACAGATGGTAACATAATTCCTCCAGATGGGAGCTAGTAGAAGAAGAATAGATTTGTTTAATTTTTTTTTAAAATTTCACTTTATTTTTTTATTTAGAAGAGGTAATGGGAGAGCCCATGAGTTAAGATTTAGAGTATACTAAATGTGTCATTTAGACCATCTGGAGATATGTGTAAGTCTGGAGCACAGTAACAAGATCTAGAATTGAAATGTAGACTTAGAAGTAATTCACTGAACACATTTTTATTGAGCTTTTACTATGGATCTAGCACTTTTATAGATACTGGAGACAACTGTGATAATAGCATGTAATTTGTTATCAGCATATAAATGGTAAATTCACCAAAAAGGTATAGAATGACAACACAGCAAAGAATGAATTGCTGGGTGATAATAGCTTAGACTGGAAGACCAGAGCAAGAGAAACCTGTGAAAGAGGCCTGAGAAGGAGCAACAAGGGAAATAGTGGGAAAGCTAAGAGAGTAATGTCATAAAAGCCAGGAAAAGATAAAAAATTATAGGAGAGATCCGTATATAACATTCAAAATAAACTACTAGAATAAATGATAAAAGAAAACCTTAGTTACTTTGAGTTGGGATTTTTTAAAACAGAGAAAGGAAAAAGTGCATACATTGGACTTCACTAAAATTAAAACTTTTTCTCTTCAAAAGGTACTAAAAACGAAGAGGCAAGCAACAAATTGAGAGAAAGTATTTGTAAAACACTTAACAAAGAACTTGTATCTAGAAGTATAAGAACTATCAGAACTCGATAATAAAACTATCAGTTTTTAAATATCTGGTTTAAAAATGGGTAAAATATTTGAACAGACACTACACCAAAGAAGATGTATGAATATCAAATAAGAACATGAAAAGATGCAGGAGGATCGAGAGTTCAAAGTCAGCCTCAGCAAGGGCAAAGCACTAAGCAACTCAGTGAGACCCTGTCTCTAAATAAAATACAAAATAGAGCTAGAGATGTGGCTTAAGTGATTGAGTACCCCTGAGTTCAATCCCTGCTACCTGCCCTCCTCCCAAAAAAAGATGATTATCATCATTAATCACTAGGAAAATGCAAATTAAAACCATGATGAGATACCAGGCACACCCATTGGGATGACAAAAATTCAGAACATCATACTAGGTGTTAGTGAGCTTGTGGAAGAACTGGAACTTTCACGTTGTATGTAGGAAAGTAAATGGTATTTTTTTCCCAACTACTTTGGAAAACAATTTGGCAGTTTCTTGGAAATTAAAATATACCTACCATTTGATCCAACAATTCCATCCCTAAATGTTTCTCAAGATAAGTGGAAGTTATCCTTACAAACTTGTTCATGAATATTCAGAGGAAACAACCCCAGTGTCTATCAACAGGTGAATGGATAAACAGATGGTGGTATGTCCATACAATAGAATACTACTCAACAGTAAAAAGGAAGGAATTGTTGATACATGGAACAGAATGGTTGAATCTCAAAATCATCATGCTGAGTAAATAAGCCAGGTATAAGAATATACATTGTATGTTGATTCCATATATATGAAATTCTGGAAAATGCAAAATTAATCTATAAATCTTGTCTAGAAAGGGGAGGTTATGAAAAAGGACATGAGAAAACTTGAGGGTGGTGAATATTTTAATTGTGATGGTTTCATCACATATGTCAAAATGTATAAAATTTTATACTCTGGCAGTTTATCAGAGGTCAGTTTTATATCAATAAACCTATGTAAAAATGAGTAAATTGAAAAAATTTGCCTAAATATCAGCAGTTTTTCCTTTTCTTTGTTAAAATCAAGTGTATTTAATTTAACACATAATGTTTTGCAATAGCATGTGTAACACCCATTTTTAGAAGATTATTTTGGGTTTTTTTTTCATATATCACTTTTTATAGAAAAATTACTTTTTAAAAGTCTAACCCTGAAAGCAGGGAAGAAGAGAGTAGCTGGTGATGTGGCAGTTAAGCTGGCTGAAGTGTTTTCACTTCCAGTGTGGAAGGAGTTGCATTGTGCTTGTATCTCAAGCATAGCAATGGGCCAAGTGGGAGAAGCTGCAGACACAGAACTAAAGGGAAGAGGATAGAAACAGGGTCCTTGAGAGTCTAAAAGGAGATGGCATTTTGGTGCAGGTGAGACTTCTCTTTATCTGAGACCAGAGGGAAGAACTGAGGGTTAATATGCATGCAGATAAAGTCAGTCTCAAACCATATTATTTTTGTGAAAATAGGAAAGTATCCTGTTGAGAGAAGGAGGGTAAGGATGAAAGGTTTGTAATGAATGATGAATTGACTGTGTTTGGGAAAAGAAGAATATGACCAGGTACATACAAAAAGATTGTCAACAAAGTTTCTCTTACACACTTGGTGTGTAAGAGGGCCTCGGCACTTGCTGATTTTCTGAAAGATACTGAAAGGAGCATTCTGTATGTTCTGGGTCACCAGTCTATGTTGGCTTTTCTAGTTCTATACTCTTTGTTATAAAGGGAAAATCTTTTTAGAAAATCAGAATTCAGTTGTTTTACACTTTGTGGTTTTTCACTGTATCATTAATGTGTTTGGGATATCTTTCCATATCAGTGTATATGGATATCTTCTTATTCTTAATGCCTGTGCATTAATATTTCACTCTATGTATATACCATAATTATATACATTGTGTTTCCAACTTGTCATTATTAAATAATGCATATTTCTTTATATATACAAGGTTTTAGATGCTTTTGCACATGTACAGCTATTTCTGAGGACAGATAACCTAGAAGTAGAATTATTTTGTCAAAGATTATGAACATTTTACATTTTGTTGAATATTGCCAAATTGTTATCTAAAGTGACTCTCATCATTTGAGATAATTAATTTCCCTATACTGTCACCAACAAAGTGTTATTTCTTTTTATTTCTGTCAATCCTATGATCAAAATATATTTCCTTGTTTTAAATTTGCAGATTGAGCAGTTTTCAAGTATCTATAGACCATTTCTATTTTTTATGTGAATGGCCTATTCTGTCCTTTGTCACATTTTACTAGGTTGACTTCTATATTTGTAGAAGCTCTTTAAATGTTGTGTACCCTTTCCCCATCATATATATGGTAGGAATTTTTTTCCAAGCCTTCAATTCTAGAATAAGCTTCAAATTTTGATGTACTTAAATCCTGTATTCTTTTCCTTGATGGTTGCTGGATTTTGAATCTTGCTAAGGAATGCCTTTCTCACTTAAAGATTATTTAGATTTCTCTCCTAAAACTCCATTGTTGGGCTTTGTTGTTTGTGTATTTTGTATTTAATACACATGAATGATAATGAGGTAGGGGTACTATCATTTTAGATTCAATAATAAAAATAAATATTTTAATTCAGATATTTTCAAGGTAAGTTATTCTAGAAAGATGCTAGAGATAACTTCTTCTTTTTTTTTTTTAAGCAGTGCCTTCTTAGAAGTAAACACTTTTGTATGTTCTTATTGGTGAAAAGTTACATGTTGTGAAGTTCATTTTGGGCAAGGTTGCTATTTATTCACATTCTCATTAAATAGACATTAACTTTTCCATCTAATGAGGAAATTACTAGAAGCATATATTTCTGTTTACCAATTTTGTCAGTGTGTGACAAACATCAAGCAGAAAGTTATCTATTAGTAGTCAGTGGTCTGCAGGTATCTAGTTCATAGTGACTGATCTTTTAAAAAGTAGATGATTGACTACAGTAATGAAGATGCAGAGAAGGAAAGCAGAAAAAGAAAATAGCAATAAGGGATATAAGGGAAAAGAATAGAACAACAAAAAAGAAAAGAAAGAGACAGTAGAAAATGGGGTGGGGGGGAGAGAAAGAAAAATTTAACTTAATATTTTGCAATAGCATGTGTAACACCCATTTTTAGAAGATTATCTTGGGTTATTTTTTCATATATCACTTTTTATAGAATAATTACTTTTTAAAAGTCTAACCCTGAAAACAGGGAAGAAGAGAGTAGCTGGTGATATGGCAGTTAAGCTGGCTGGAATTATCCCAGGCTCCTGGTAGTAGGGTGTTTTTGTTGTTATTTTGCTCAGTATTTGTCTTTTGTTTTGGAGGTGAGATGAACTTCCACTATTCTTTTTTTTTTTTCTGCCTAGCTTTTCTATTTTTTTAATTTATATATGACAGTAGAATGCATTAGAATTCTTATAACACATAAAAAGCACAGTTTTTCATATCTCTGGTTGTATTCAAAGTATATTCACATCAATTCATGTCTTCATACATATATTTTGGATAATAATGATCATCACATTCCACCATCATTTATAACCCCGTGCCCCCTCCCTTCCCCTCCAACCCTCTGCCCTATCTAGAGTTTGTCTATTACTCCCATGCTCCTGCTCCCTATCCCACTATGAAAATCCATATGCAACAAAATGAAATTAAACCCCTATCTCTCACATGCATAAAACTCAACTCAAAATGGATCAAGGACTTAGGAATAAAAAACCAGAGACCCTGCATCTAATAGAAGAAAAAGTAGGCCCTAATCTCCATCATGTGGGATTAGGCCCCAACTTCCTTAATAAGATTCCTATGGCATAAGAATTAAAATCAAGAATCAATAAATGGGATTGGGGGCTGGAGTTGTAGGGCAGCGGTAGAGCGCTTGCCTTGTATGCGTGAGGCACTGGGTTCGATTCCCAGCACTACATATAAATAAGGAAATAAAATAAAGTTCCATCAACAACTAAAAATAAAAAGTAAAACAAATGGGATGGACTCAAACTAAAAGTTTCTTCTCAGCGAAAGAAACAATCTGTGAGGTGCATAGAGAGCCTTCATCTTGGGAGCAAATCTTTACTCCTCACACATCAGATAGAACACTAATCTCAAAAAGCTAAGCACCAAAAAAAACAACCCAATCAATAAATGGGCCAAGGACCTGAACAGACACTTCTCAGAAGATGATATACCATCAATCAACAAATATATGAAAAAATGTTCATTATCCTATCAATTAGAAAAATGCAAATCAAAACCACTCTAAGATTTCATCTCACTCCAGTCAGAATGGCAGCTATTAGGCATACTAACAACAATAAGTGTTAGCAGGAAAAAGGTACACTCATACAGTGCTGATGGGGACTGAAAATTGGTGCAGTCAATTTGGAAAGCAGTTATGGAGATTTTTGGAAAATTAGGAATGGAACCACCATTTGACCCAGCTATCCCTCTCCTCCATCTATACCCAAAGGCCTTAAAAACAGCATACTACAGGGACACAGCCACATCAATGTTTCTAGCAGCACAATTCACAATAGCTAAACTGTGGGACCAACCTAGATGCCCTTCAATAAATGAATGGATAAAAAAAATGTGGCATATATACACAATGGAATATTACTCAGCAATAAAAGAGAATAAAATCATGGCATTTGTAGGTAAATGGATGTAGTTAGAGAAGATAATGCTAAGTGAAGTTAGCCAATCCCCAAAAAACAAATGCCAAACTTCCACTTTTCTACTGAGTAGTTTTTGTATATCACTGTTTGGTCTTGTTTGCTTTTGTTTTTTTCTCAATTTTTTGTTGGTGCATTAGTATGCATAATTATAGTGTTTACTGTTAAATGGGCATGGATTCTTAAATTCATAGTTCTTCATTATTTCCTTTCAGACAATTGAGAATTTTGAACCAGCGACTCAGAGAACAAGAAAACACTCAAAAGACATCTGGCCCCGTAGAATGCAACCATGAATGTAGGTAAAAGAACTTTAAAACTATTAAAATCTTAGAGGCTCTGGAAATGATTTAAAAAAAAAATAAATTAGTTTGTCCAGTGGATTTTGTTTCCAGTCAACTTAAAAATAGGTATGGTGCTCCATATTAAAACAGAAAATAGTGCAGGAAAATAAAAGATTAGTGTGCTGTCTACATCCCAATAATACACCTCTACTAAAGGTGTATATTGTGCCAAGCACAATAAAATTATATATGTACTTTCAAATTTTTAAAAATTGAGTGTGTGCTTTATGTACTCTTTCAAAGCTTACATTTATTCATTTTATACATAGTGAACATTTTTCCTATAAAAATACATAAATTTTCTTTTTTTTTTCTTTGATAACTTATTTTCTGCTTGTGTGGCTCTACCATAATATATTGAAGATCTTCTGGAAGACATCTGAATACTTCGCCTCTTTTCCTCAAAGCAAACAACAATGCAGTGAAAATTCTTCTTTTTTTTAATATTTATTTTTTTAGTTGTAGTTGGACACAATGCCTTTATTTTATTTATTTGTTTTTTTGTGGTGCTGAGGATTGAACCCAGGGCCTTGCACATGCTAGACGAGCGCTCTACTGCTGAGCCACAACCCCAGCCCCTGAAAGATTCTTATCTTTATACAAATATGTGAGCATTTTGCAAGATAGATTTATAATAATAGAACTGATGAGCCAAATAGTATATGCAATCGCAATTTTAACCAATATCACTAAATTATCCTTATGTTGTTTTGAGACAGAGTCTAACTATATTGTTTAGGCTGGTTTTTTAAAGTCCCAAGCTCAAGAGATCGCCCTCCTTAGCCTCCTCAGTAGCTGGGACTACAGGCACAAGCCACCAACTTGTCCTTATGGGTCACAGGTTAATAGAGAAATAAAAACTAATAGTATTAGAAGAGAAAAAAATGAGACTTATTTTTATTATTATTGCCTGCTGTGGTTATATGCTACATTGTTTGTGCTACAAAACCTGCCTCATTTCCTTTCTTGCAGTAGTCAATGAAAAATATTTGTGATTGATGAAGAACTATGCAGTTTAGATTATTTTCATAGGGTATAAATGAAAAGTTGTAGAATCTCTTGCCTAAATATCGAGGGTTTTTTTTTTTTTAATAAATGACAGCAGAATGCATTACAATTCTTATTATACGTATATAGCACAATTTTTCATATCTCTGTATATAAAGTATGTTGACACCAATTCGTGTCTTCGTACATGCACTTTGGATAATGATGTTTATCACATTCCACCATCCTTGCAAATCCCCTTCTCCTACCTTTCCCTCCCACCTCTCTACCCTATGGTTTTTGTTTGTTTGTTTTTGTTTTTTTGTTTTCCTGATGAATACATTGAGGATGAAAAAGCAATGAAAGTTTGGAACTGAAAATTTTTATGTCAACAGTGCCTATTAGAATAGGTTTTGTGTGTGCGTGTATGTGTGGGTGTGTGGTCTGGGAATTGAACCCATGGCCTTGTACATGCAAGGCAAGCACTCTACCAACTGTGCTATGTCACCATCCCTTATTATAATAGTTATTACCAGCCCTCATTTTAGATAGAACCTTATCATTTCTATTTTTTTCCTTTCCTATCCCTCCTCCCTCCCCACGGGTCCCTTTCCTCTACTATCTTCCTTAGATTTTTTTTTTATTTGTTCTTTTTAGATACACATGACAGAAGAGTGTATTTTGACATATTATACCTACGTGGAGTATAACTTATTCTAATTAGGATCCCATCCTTGTGGTTGTACATGATGTGAAGTTTCAGTGGTGATGTATTCATATGTGAACATAGGAAAGTAAAGTCCAATTCATTCTACTGTTTTTCTTTTTTACCATCCTCCTCCCTTCCCTTCATTCCCCTTTGTCTAATCCAGTGAACTTCTATTCTCACTGCCCACCTTGATGTGTTTCAGTGTCCACATATCAGAACATTTGGCCTTTGGATTTTTTGGGATTCGTTTATTTCACTTAGATTGATAGTCTCCAGTTCCATCCATTTACCGCAAAAGTCATTCTTTTTATGGCTGAGTAATACTCCATTGTGTATATATACCACATTTTCCTTATCTCTTCATCTGTTGTAGGGCACCTAGGTTGGTTCCATAGCTTAGCTATTGTGAACTGAGCTGCTATTAACATTATTGTGGCTGCATCACTGTAGTATGCTGATTTTAGTCTTTTGGATATAATGCTGAGGAGTGGGATAACTGGGTCAAATGGTGGTTCCATTCCAAGTTTTTGAGAAGTCTCCATACCGCTTTTCCATAGTGGTTGCACCAACTTGCAGTTCCATTAGCAATGTATGACTGTACCTTCTCCCCACATCCTTGCCAACATTTACTATTACTTGTATTCTTTATAATTTTTATTCTGACTGGTGCGAGATGAAATCTCAGTGTAGTTTTAATTTGCATTTCTCTAATTGCTAGAAATATTGAACACTTTTTTGTATATTTGTTAATCATTTGTATTCTGTGAAGTGCCTGTTCAGTTCCTTTGCCAATTTATTAATTAGGTTCTTTTTGTTGTTGTTGTTATACTTTTTGATTTCTTTATATATATCCTGGGGATTAATTCAGGTAGGCTCTCCATGTTCTTGATTGTTTCCTTTGCTATGAAGTTATTAATTGAGAACTTTCAAAATAATGTTCTCAGGACAAAGTCTGATGTAAATGCAGATGTCACAGAGGAACAGATAAAATTTTCTCCAAAAATTCTTTTTCGATTTCTGAACAGCAAAGTACATTCAAAAAGCATCAAGAAAATGGGGAATTTGTTTTTTGCAATATATGACATGAGCTTAATTTTCTTAATATATTAATATCTCTTACAAAGCAATAAGAAAAATATGTGCATTCAGCAGAACAAGTGTATCATGAAAGTATTTGTCTTCATGAGAGTAACTTCAGATAGATCATTCTGTTTCTACTGTGAATAAAAGGTGGGGGATAAAGGAAGGTGAAAGAGGGAAGGTCATGAATGGAAATGGGGAGATCAGTGGTTGTCATTCTAAGTAGCAGCTTCTCTCTTTTTATTCTCTTATTCATTTACTTTATTGGATTGTTTTTGTTTCTCTTTTCTTTTGAGTTATATTTACTTGTTTAGTACTAGCTTCATGAGATCAGGGACCACGTCCATGTTATTTACTGTTGTGTACCCAGATTCTAATATAGTGTCTCATACATGGTAAACATTGACTGAAGCTTATGTTTGCTAAATGAAATGGTACCATGTACTTCTGTAGTTTTTAAGAAAAAGAATATGATAAGTCTATGTGCTGATACCTAACAGTCTTTTTTGGGGGAAAAGGCAGTGTTAGAAACTGAGTATAGTATAATTCTTTTATATTTAAATATATGTATAATTTTATATAAGATTATATACTGTTCGCAAAAGGTTTTTAAGAAAGATAGCCAAAATTAATAATGATGCCTCTGGGAGAAGAGTCAGGTAGGGAAAAAGAGAGATACTTCTTTGAGAATCATTAGGTATTATCTATTGGTATCTTGTGGCATTTCAATTTTTTATTTTGTGCATGTATTTTTCTTTAATTTAAAAAGGTAAAAATAATTTAATGCGCATAATTTCAATTGAAGAAGAAAGGCATGATTTTTACCAATCAATTTTTAAAAATACATTTGGTATTTATATAGAACTGCTTATACACATCATTATTAAGCAAAATCAGTAAATTCCAGGCCTTTTTCTAAAAACAAATCTTTTCCATGTTTGTATTTTTAAAATTGAGAAAGAACTGTTTAATCTATTTTGTCTTGCAGTGTATTCCCTTCAATCATTGAACACATCACTGCAAAATCAATTGCAGGAGTCACTGAAGAGTCAGGAATTACTACAGAGTAAAAATGAAGAGCTCTTAAAAGTGATTGAAAATCAGAAAGATGAAAACAAAAAATTTGCTAGTATATTTAAAGACAAAGAGCAAACACTTCTTGAAAATAAACAGCAATTTGACATTGAGATAACAAGAATAAAAATTGGTATGTATTTAGGCTATTGTTATAGTCAGATTTTTTAGAAAGGAATGAGAAACTGAAACTTTTGTTGTTTTAGAATTGGAGGAAGCCTTGGTCAATGTGAAAAATTCCCGGTTTAAGTTAGAAACTACTGAAAAGGAAAATCAGATATTGGGAATAACACTGCGTCAGCGTGATGCTGAAGTGACTCGGCTGAGAGAATTAACCAGGTAAAATTGCCTTTCTTTAACTAACCTAGGCCTCTTATTTGATGTATTATAAACTTCAAAATAATGTCAAACCTGCCCTTTTTTCCTTATCATTTTCTCTTATTTTTTCAATTTTTTTGCTAATTTCTAATTTTTTCTTCCTGTTCCAATTATGGTAGTTTAGAAATTCCAAACCTGGGCAAATGCTTTTTTAGACTCTGTAAGTCTAGGTAATGAGCTCTGATGAGAGGCTAACAACCTGTATAGCAAAGTGGTAAGCTACCTGGCTGTGAAGCCAAAGACCTGAATGGAATCTCAATTCTGCTACATATTAGTTGATGACTTTGAGCTCATTGTTTAAACTTTCTCACCCTCTCTTGTAAAGTAGGGACATAGATAGGGTTGGGAGAAACTCAGAAACAATTCATGAAAAGCAGTTAGCATGGTAAGCCCTTATGCCATATGATCTTGGGTAACTCATTTATACTCTTTGAGCTTCATTTTCTTCATTTTGACAATAAAATGAGGAATTTGCAGTGGCTCCTAAGATTCTTCATTTCCTAGCAGATAAATAAAATTACTAAATTTTCATAAAATTTTCTTTTGAGACATTTGCTAAGATTGGATTTTTAACTGTTTAAAGTCCCAGATGAGAGGTTATTTTAGGCCAGAAAATCATCAGGTATGACCATGTCTTTGAATGATCCTAGAAATGTATATTTCCAAATATAAGATAATTTTGAATATAAAACAGTATGTATTGTATTCCCAATTAACAGACCCACTTTGAATTATAAACTTTTAGAAAAATAGATTAAATAGTAATGTATGCATGTATGTATGTATGTGCATACACATGTATAGTCTAATATTTTTTAACTGAGTTGAGGTTTTTGTTGTCATTGAGTTGTGTTTGACGTATTTGAAATGTCTACTTCTTATCACATGGTTTGCAAACATTTTCTCCTCTTCTGGGATTTCTCTTCACCCTTGTTAACTGTTTACTATGAAGAAGATTTTTAGTCCCATTTGTCTATTTTGTGTTTATTACCCATGCTCTGAAGGTCATATCCCTCAGAATTGCCCAGACCAATGACATGAAGCTTTTTACCTAATTTTTTTTTCTGGTAGTTTTACAGTTTAGGTGAAAGGGGATGTCTTATGTGATGTAAGTCTTTAACTCATTTTGATTTGATTTATGTATGTGAGATGGCTTAATTTCATTCTTTTTAAACTTCTAAAATTTATAATCTGTTAATACAGAAATACTACTTTTTTCCTACATTTATTTCATAGGATAATTTCATTAAAGCTTTTTTTAAAAAAAAATATTTTTTAGTTGTCAATGGACATTTATTTTATTTATTTATATGTGGTGCCAAGAATCCAACCCACTGCCTCACACATGGTAGGCAAGCATTCTACCACTGAGCCATAACCCCAGCCCCTCATTAAAGCTGATTTATTTATTTATTTATTTAGTTGGTTGTGGCTGGAAGCAATATCTTTATTTTATTTATTTTAAATGTATTTTTAGTTGTAGGCAGACACGATACCTTTATTTTATTTATTTATTTTTACATGGCACTGAGGATCGTACCCAGAGCCTCACACGTGCCAGGTGAGCGTTCTACCACTGGGCCACAACCCCAGCCCTCATTAAAGACTTTAATAGTTAGAAAAACAAAAGACATTTCTTATGTCCATGTGGAATTATAATTCATTAGGCCCTGGCCAGTTTTCTAAATGCTAGCCTATACAATTTTTCTTCAAAGTAAAGTAAGAAATTAATGAAGTACATTGATATTTTTGTTTGTGGATATCCAGTTTTCCCCAAACCATTTGTTGAAGAAACTCCTTTTATCATTGTATGTTCTTGGCAGTCAACTGGCTATAAATCTGTGGGTTTATTTCTGGCTTTCTATCTTGTTCCATTGATAGATATGTCTATTTTTGTGGGAAGTGCCATGCTTGTCTTGCTTATAGTAGCTTTATAATATATTTTGAAATTCAGGACTTTAATGCCTCAGCTTTGTTTTGTTTTTGTTTTTCTTTTGTTCCAGATTTCTTTGGTTATTTTTGTGGTTTCATATGAATTTTAGGATTTTTTTTCTGTCTCTTTGAAAAATGATATTGGAATTATGATAGGACTGTACTGAATCTATAGATCACTTAGGGTAGTATGGTCATTTAACTATTAATTCTTCCAGTTTATGAGCATGGGATATCTTTATATTTATTTGTATTTTCTTAAGTTTCATCATTATTCTATAGTTTTTATTATACAGGTCTTTCATCTCCTTGGTAAAATTCACTCCAAAGTATTTTGGATATTTTACTTACTATTGTAAGCAAGATTGTCTTCTTAATTTCTCTTTTTGGATAGTTTGTTGTTAGTGTGTAGAATGGCTATCAAGAAGTTGGGTGCAGGGCTGGGGGTGTGGCTAAGCGGTATCGCGCTCGCCTGGCATGCATGTGGCCTGGGTTCGATCCTCAGCACCACATACAAACAAAGATGTTGTGTCCACTGAAAACTAAAAATAAATATTGAAAAAATTCTCTCTCTCTCTCTCTCTTAAAAAAAAAAAAGAAGAAGAAGAAGAAGAAGTTGGGTGCAATGGTTTATACCTGCAATCCTGGCAATTTGAGAGGCTGAGGCAGGAGGATTCCAATCTTGAGGTCAGCTTCAGAAACTTAGGGAGACTGTCAACAAATTAGCAGGATACTATCTTAAAGTAAAAAATAAAAAGGATTAGGGATATAGCTCAGAGGTAAAGTGTCCCTGGGTCCAATCCCCGGTACCAAAAAAGGGGGGGGGGGAATGCTGTCAATATTGATATTTGTAAATTATTTTTGTGTTCTGCAATTTTCCTGGATTTTTTTTTCTATCATTTTAACAGTTTTTTGGTGAAGTCTTTATATGTAAGTCCATATTTTCAGCACTTCCTTTGTATTAGGATATCTTTTACAGAGTCCTTATTTTATAATGGTTCAACTCATGATTTTTTACTTTTCATGAGTTTACCAGGGTATTAAATGCATTTTCAGCCACATTTAATGGTGCATGCCTGTAATCCCAGTGGCTTGGGAGGCTGAAGCTGGAGAATTGCAAGTTCAAAGCCAGCCTCAGCAACTTAGCGAGGCCCTAAGCAACTTAGTGAGAGACCGTATCGTTGAATAAAAAATAACAAGAGCTGGGGATGTGGCTCAGTAGTTAAGCACCCCTGGATTGAATCCCTCGTACCAAATGAAAGTGCATTTTCAACTTATGATAGATAGGTTTATCAGGATGTAACCCCATCATAAAGTCAAGAAGCATATATATTTCTTTCTCTTACCTAAAAATTGCTATGGCTAGGGCTTCCAGTACTATTTTGTGGTGAAAGTGGGCATCCTGGTTTTAGAAGAAAACTTTACAACTTTTCTCCATTGAGTATGATATTAACTGTGGGCTTGTCATATACGGGTTATATGGATTTTATTAGGTTAAGATACTTTCCTTCTGTACCTAATCTGTGAAGATTTTTTTCTTGAAAGGATGTTGAATTCTGTCACATACTTTTTCTTTATTAATTGAGATAATCATGGTTTTTATTCTTCATTTGTTAATGTAGTATATCACATTTATTGATTTGCATATGTTGAATTATCCTTATATCCCAGGGATAAGTCTTATTTGATAATGGTGAATGATTCTTTTCGTGTATTGTTGAATTTGATTTGCTAGTATTATGTTGAGGATTTTGCCATCCATATTCATCAGGGATACTGGCATGTAATTTTCTTTTCTTGCAGTGTCCTTGTCTGGCTTTGATATCAAGATAATATTAGTCTTTTAAAATGAGTTTGGAAAAATTTCCTCCACTTTGAGTTTTTGAAAGAATTTGAGAAGGATTGGTATTAGGATTAATACTTCTTTAAACGTTTGGTGTAATTCAGCTGTGAAACCATCTGGTCTTAGGCTTTCTTTGATGGGAGCCTTTTTATTACAGATTCAGTCTCTTGTTATTGATCTATTCGGATTTTCTGTTTTGCTTGATTTGCTCTTGGTAGGTGTGTCTAGGAATTTATTTATTCTAGGCTATCAATTTGTGGTATAACTGTTCTTAGTAGTTATGATCATTTTTATTTTTGTGGTATCAATTGTAATGTCTTCTCTTTCATTTCAGATTTTGAGTGTTTTCTTTCTTCCTGGTAAATCTAACTAAGAGTTTGCCTATTTACTTACTTTATAAAAAAACAACTTAGTTTCATTGATTTTTTTTCTATTATTTTTCTAGTCTCTATTTTAATTATTTCTTCTCTGATTTTTGTCCTTTTCTTATATCTGCTATCTTTAGGCTTAGTTGGTTCCTCTTTTTCTAGTCATTTGAACAGTAGATTATTTGAGCTCTTTCTTCTTATACCTTCTTTTCCTCTATGAACATGCTTTTGCTGAATACTGTAAGTTTTGGCATGTAGTGTTTTCATTTTGTCTCAGAATATTTTTTTTTTATTTCCCTTTTGATTCTTTTTTGACCCACTGGTTGTTCAGGAACATTTTGCTTAATTTCCACATTTCTGAATTTTCTAAAATTTCTCCTATTATTGATTTCTAGTTTTATTTGCAATCAGAAAAGGTACTTGATAAGATTTTATTTCTTAAAGATTTTATTTCTTTTAAATTTGTTGAGAACTTTTTTGTATCCTACCATATGATCTAAGATAGAGAATGTTTCATTTTGGTAGAGAAAAATATGTATTCTCTGCTGTTTGTTAGAATGTTTTGCATAGCTCCTTTTGGTTTGGTCTATAGTGTAATTCAACTCTTAATATTTTCATATTAATTTTCCATCTAGATAATTGTCCCTTGTTGAAAGAGGGGTATTAACATCCTCTAGTATTATTGCATTGCAGTCTGTCTCTTCAAATTAATAACTGCTTTATATATTTAGGTGGTCTTATATTCGGTGTTTATATATTTACAATTGTTATGTCCTTTTGATGAGTTGATTCATTGTTATATAGTGACCTTCCTCGTCTCTTTTTTTACTTAATTCTATTTTGTCAGATATGATTATAGCTGCCTCTGCTCTATTTTGTTTTCCATTTTCCCGTTTGTGTGAAATATTTTTTACCATTCTTTACTTTTATTCTTTGTGTTGTCCTTACTGGCAAATAAGTCTCTTGTAGTATTTTTCATTTGTTTTATCCATTCAACCTATGCCTTTGGATTAAAAAATGTAATTGATAAGTACGGACATATAACAGCCATTCTGTAATTTCTTTTCTGGTAGTTTTTAGATTCTTTCTTTTCTCTCTTCCTGTTTTCCTTGGCATTTGATGATTTTCTGAATTGGTATGCTTTGAATCCTTTCTTTTTATGTTTTATATAACTACCGTAGAGGTTTGTTTTGTGGTTACATAAAACATGAGGCTTACATAAAATATCTTATAGATATAAAAGGCTATTTTAAACTGATAGTACCTTAGCTTCATACAAACAGAAACTACAGTTTTACTCCCCTGCCCTTTATGATTTTGATGTCAATGTTTACATCCTTTTGTAATATATAATATTTTTGTAATACACAATATAACCACTTGTTGTAGCTTTAGCTGTTTTGCATAGTTTTGACTTTTTAACCTTTATATTAGAGATAAAATTGCTTTACACACTACCATTTCATTACTCTAGAGTATTCTGAATCTGGTTATGTTTTAATCATTGAGTTTTGTATTTTCAGTGGCCTTTCATTTCAGCTTTAAAAACTGCCTTTAGTAGTTATTCCTGTAAGGCTGGCCTAGTGATAAACTCCTTTAGCTTTTGTTTGTTTGGGAAGTTTTTTAATTCTCATATCTGAATAACACCTTTGCTAGGTAAAGTATTCTTGGTTAGCAATTTTTTTTTTTTTCAGTTCTTTGAGTATGCTACTCCATTTTTTCTCTCCTGGTCCATAGGGATTTTGCTGAGAAATTCACTAATAGCTTTATCAGCACTCCCTTGTATGATAATATGTTTGTTAGCTCTTGCTTCTTTCAGAATTCTTTGTCTTTGATTTTGACCAAATCTCTGGGTTGAATTGGTTTGGAAACCTCTGAGTTTCCTATACTTGGATTTTGATCTCTTTCCGCAGATAGGGGAAAATTTCAGCCATCATTTCCTTATGCAGAACTCGGAGTTTGGTTATGGTCACTCCTCTACTACTTAGCTGTTCTTCACAGTATGTGTGGATGCACATTTGCCTCCTGGCCTGGAAAAGCCTTAATCAGAGCACCAAGGCTGTGTGGGATTATAAGTCAGGCACTGGGGTTGGATAGGGCTAGATGGCCTCCTCATAGATATGGGCATATTGGGTGGATACACTTTCCTTTTGGCCTAGGAAAGTTGTATGCAGAACTGTCATGCTGGGAAGGTTCATCACTATTAGCTCTGGTTGGATGGCACCAGATGCTCTTGTCGCAGATATGCTGAGACTTGAATTTATCTTCTGGCCTGGGGAAGCCTGAAGCAGAACACTGATGCTGGATGGGGAAGCTGAATATCTACTTCCAGCTTGTTTACCACTGTAGAAACCATGGACCCAGGGCATTCCTCTCTGTGTGACAGTGTACGAGCTTGAAGGAGGGATAACATGGTCAGAGTGAAATAGTTCCTCCAACCCTTCAGACTTTCCCTTTTATAGGGGGAAAAATCATTCATTCTATATCCAGAGATATAGAATGGTACAGAGATTTCCTTTTAATATTTTATGTCTACATGTGTTAACTACTTATTTTTATAAAGATGGTATTAAATCCACTTTATTTATGGCCTCCTCTTTTAAACTTATCTTTATATAATGTACATTTTCCCATCAGTAAAAATTCTTTACAACATGAGTATAAAATAGCTGTTATGTGGGCTGGGGTTGTTGCTCAGAGGTAGAGTGTGTACCTTGCACATGTGAGGCACTGGATTCGATCCTCAGTACCACATAAAAATAAGTAAAGGTCCAACTACAACTAAAAAAAAAAAAAATAGCTGTTATGCTGTTATCCATAATTTACCTAAATCAAACATAGACAAATATACATATTTTTTCTATTGTAAATATCTTTTTAAAGTTTATATCCATCAATTTTCTATTATTAGTATCTTTATAACTGTCCTTGAGTACAATCTCTTTGTATATAGCAGCACTAGGATGAATTCCTGGAAGTTCAAGTTTGTGGGTCACAGGATATAGTATATTCTGGGGTTGGTGGTGCACACCTGTAATCCCTGCTACTGTGGACACTGAGGCAGGAGGATCTCAAGTTTGAGGCCAGCATTGACAACTTGGTGAGACCCTGCTCAAAACAAAAAGTAAAAAGTACTGTGAATGGACGTTAGTGGTAGAGTGCTTGCATGCAGGAGGCCCTGGGTTCATTCCCTAGGACTATTCTTGTTTTACTATGTTCAATAAACAAAGAAAAGGAAAAAAAAATAAATCACATTTAAAATTTTGAGTTTATCTCATTAAAACTTAAAAGTTTGAGGCCAAGGATATAGTGCTTGCCTAGCAATTTGTGGAAAAAACAAAAGTAGAACTTTTAAGACATGCTTATTGACTAGTTATATATTTTTGTTGTTGTTGTTTTTGTTCATTACCTGTGGATATCTTTTGTATCTATCTTTTCTCTGTTTATCTTTTTCTCATTGATGTTTTTTTTTTTTTTTTTTGGAGGATGGGTACCAGGGATTGAACCTGGGACACTCAATCACTGAGCTACATCCCCAGCCCTGTTTTGTATTTTATTTAGAGACAGGGTCTCACTGAGTTGCTTAGCACCTTGCTATTGCTGAGGCTGGCTTTATACTTGTGATCCTCCTGTCTCAGCCTCCCGAGCCACTGGGATTATAGGTGTGCATCACTGTGCCTGTCTTCTCATTGATATTTAAGATCATATGATTCAATTCATATAGACGAAAGGCTTTAAAATGGTTTTAATAGGACTACTAATAAAAGCTGCCATCAAATGAGATCAACACACATTTAGACTGAAACTGTGCTAAGCACTTTACTCATATTTTATTATTTAATCTTATTTATTTGTAATTCTAAAGTAAGTATCTACATTTTACAGTTGAGGAAATTGAAATTCAGAAAGGCTAAGTGACTTGCCCAAGATCACAGCTAATGATAGCAATAGGATTTGGCTCCATTTCTTTTTAGCTTCTAAGCCTGGGTGGTTTTTCTTATATCACTCTTTTCCAATAACTAGCTGTTGCTTATCCCTAATTATGACATAATTGTCTCTATCCATCTGTTTATTCCAGTATTGTTCTAATATTATCCTGAGTGTATCTCCTGAATGGAAGATTTTCTTTTTTTCCTTTAACCCGGGGGTGCTTTCCAACTGAAATACATCTCCAGCCCTCTAAGTTTTATTTTGCGGAAGGGTCTCTCTAAGTTGCCCAGAATGACCTTGAATTTCAGGTGGTCCTACTTTAGCTTCCTGAGCAGCTGAGATTGTAGATGTGAACCACCATGCCCAGCAAGGAAAATAGTTTTTAACAGAATACATAGCAAATGAGTATTTTATTTTCCATTTTTGCTTTATATCTTAGCCTACTTATATTAAGATGGTTTTATACTCAAAGATTTATTTGCAGTGTTGCTCAGGAATAAGGCATTTCTATATCTTAAGAGAGAAAAAAATTCTGAGCCTTTATTTTTAGATATAATTAGATTTGATGCAAACCAAGATCTTTCATCCTTTGTTATTTTAATATACTCTTGCCAGAGCATATTCTGTAATTTTTGTCTTTTAGTTTTCATAGTAAGAACCAGACCCTTGCCTTAAGTCCTTCTTTTTAAAGATGAAGGTATGTATGTATGAATGAAACAGGTAGAAAAAATAATTACTTTACTAAATTCTTCTTGACAGAACTTTACAGAACAGTATGGCAAAGCTGCTCTCAGATCTTAGTATGGACACTGCTTGCTGCAAGCCTGGAAATAACCTTACCAAATCAATTCTGAACATTTATGATAAACAGCTTCAACAGGACCCAGTCCCTCCCCACACTTCCATTATGAGCTACCTAAATAAGTTAGAAACAAATCACATGTTTACACATTTGGAGCCACTTTCTACAATTAAAAATGAAAAAACCATAGAAAAAAAACCCTATGAAAATGTTTTGCCCTCCAAAGTCCCTCCACATAGTGATATTGGGGGCATGGAGAGAGTATTCGCACCTGAGATTCTTTCTACCCTTTCAAAACATGATTCTGATGCTGAGTGTGAAACCATGACTTTAATAGAAGATGAATGTAATTTAGATAACACAATTTATATTCCTTTTGCTAGAAGCCCTTCTAAGAAGAACCTACCACTTTCTAGGAGAGTATCCCCCCAGCCACAGATAAGTGTTGCTACAAGACAACTAGTCAGCGATAGTGCACTTATCTCTGAAACAGAAAGTAAACTGTGTGTACCTGTAGTTTGTTCTTCAAAAAATGAAACAGAAGATGCACCTGAAAAACTTTCCAGAACAACCGACACGGAAGACAAACAGCTCCTCAAGAAAATAAAGGAGGCAATTGGTAAGATCCCTGTTGCTGTTGAGGATCCAGAGGAACAAGCTGCATGTCCTGGCCTGTCAGCTTGTCACAGCACCAATGTTCAAGTGAAAAGCAATGTTGTCTGTGATGGCAGCTTTTTAAATTCTGACTTGATGTCAGACTGGAGTATCTCTTCTTTTTCAACGTTTACGTCTCGTGATGAACAAGACTTCAGAAATGGCCTAGCAGCGTTGGATGCCAACATAGCTAGGCTCCAGAAGTCCTTACGGACTGGTCTTCTAGAGAAATGAATTCAAAAGCAAATTGATTGAGTACTTTCTCTTTTTAAGATTAGAACTTGGCTATATCGAAGGTATATTTTAAATTTCTGTAGAAAAATAACTTTATATTGTTAATTATGTATAAAATAATAAATTTTATGTATAAAAACTTACTGTTGGAATATTTTGACACTTGGGAATTTATAAAAAGTCATCTTAAGAAATTAAAAATTGCCAAGACAATAACTAGGAAAGTATTTTAATTTAGTACTTATCAATTAGAGTTCTTTTACTAGTATTTAACTGTGGGGTTTAAGGTTCAAGTTAAAGGATTTTTTTGGTTGTTCCTTAAAGCATAACGGGAAGAAAGTCTCTGGGGGCAATTATTACATTTAAACTAGAATTTCTTTTCTGTTTTAGGATAGCTCTGTGTTTCTTAATGACATTGTGTTTTTGTATGGAATGTTCTGTACTATAGGCCAGTGCTCTTGGTGAGATGTATAAACATTTCTTTTACAAGAAAAATTGCCAGTTAATGCCACTTTGTAAAATATATATATATATATATATATATATATATATATATATATATATATATATTAACAATATAAAGTTATTTGTAAAAAAAAATTGATAATATTCTCAATTAACATGGTTTCTAAAAATTCTTGGAATTTTTTTTCCTGAATGCGTGTTTTAAGGCCTTTAAAAAATAAAGTCAGATTGACAAAGCTGACAGCTAAGTTTTACTTTTGAAAAAACAAATTTTTTTTTTAACAAAAGAAATATTTGGGTTTTTTATCCTTACTCTCTTTAAAAATAATGAAATTTGTAAATCTTGGTTGTCATTCTGCCTTTCTGGGCCAGTTTTTTCCCCAGAATTTAACTGATAACATTCACTGTTCTATAAATATGAACTAACCTGGTTTCTCTATTTTTCTGTACTAGAACTTCTTAACTGTCCAGTGTCAGCTTCCTCCATGTAAGCAGCACACCTTTACCCTTAAAAACTGAGTCTTAAGTTGTCACAAACACTCAGTACAAATCATCTGCTTAGTACAGTTATGTTTAGCACTTGGACAGCCTTTAGAATTAAAGAGTGTTTATTGGTCCCAGGGTCTCTTCATGGTAGCATTTTAGATGTTAGTGTTACAACCTCTGATATGTCCAGCTAAGAGATTTTTTTCTTTTACAGAGAGAGATTTTTGGAGTCTAAAAATAGTAAATGAATTCTAAATTATATTCACAGAATTGTTCATTAGCATTTTAAGTGTTCTATCTTCTAGCTTTCATAAGTTAATTTATTAATTTCTTATTTGGTAGTAATAGGCCACAATTCTTCAATATGTAAATTCAGAAACACAAAATAATGATGCAAGGAAGAAAGTTGTGTCATCTTTCTACTCCCAAGTTTCAATAGTTACTCATATGCAGAAGCAGATTTTAAGAGTGTTTTATGTTAATTCTGAGGATATAGCGGGAAAATAAAGTGTTTCTCCTATTATTTGTTCACAACATAGATCACTTCTGTGATCCTAAAATGTGTGCGAAATTATAGCTCTAATCCAGTTCAGTTCTGACACTGTGTGAAGATAAAAGCAAAAGTGATAGACTGAGAACTCAGTTCCACCAGACTGCCCTTCACTTTAGATGCCAGTCACAAGTCCAGGCCTCTAGAAGTTCTGACCAACTAGCTATGAATTGGAATTCCTGGAACCCCTTCCTTAGACTTGATCATTTTTCAAAAAATAACTCATAGAGCTCAGAAAAATACATACACTCATTATAAATGATATTTTAAAGGATAGAAGTAAACAGCCAGCTGAAGGTATACCTAGGGCAATATCTGGATGGGCCTTGACTGCAGGAGCTTCTGTCCCCATGGAGTTGGAGTGTACCATCCTCAAGCACAGGTAGGAGTTCTTGCTTACCTTCCTATAAGCCTCCATGTGTTCAGCTGTTCAGAAGCTCTCAATCTTATCCTACGGAGGCTTTACTGAAACCTCTTTGTATATGATTGAAGGGTGTAGAACTGTGGTTGGACAAAAAGGATATGGTATGATGTTAATAGACTGAGTGGGGAAATCCAGCAAAGCCTGTCTGTTCAGATTCGTCTTGGCCTGTCTATAGTATTTCTTCCTCCTGGGTATGAGGCAGGACTGAAATGGGAGTCTTATGATCTGCTTACTAACCGACAAGGTAGGTGAGAGAATTTTTTTAATGGCCATCTCCAAGACAGTTGTGGGGGAAGATTACAGTATATTTTATGACATGCCTTGGGGAGGAAATTCCAGTTTCTGTGGTCCTGACTTGGGGAAGAAAAGGAGCAGGAATGTGCCAGTTACTATCATGATGGGCTCTGGAAATACACACTCAACAGGACAGACATTCTCTGTCCTCAAAGGTGTTCCATCACAGTGGGATACAAAGGAGTGTAAAGCGATAAATGCTGTGAAGAAAACTAAAGCAGATCAAGGGTGCAAAGAGTGACAGAATTGGCTTAAGTTTTAATTACTAGTATAAGGGCCTCTTTACAAAAATTATGTTTAGTAGTTCAGAATTTAAGTGTCCTATTAGGTAAAGCTGGGTTCTATTTGTGAGCTAACACCTTAATGATTTTTCAAATCTATTTCTAGTCAGAATTGCTTAAGCAAGTGAGTTCTAAGGCCATATAGCATACCTTAAAAACACTGCAGCAAAGCCCATGTCTTTTCTCAATGTTTTTAATACACCACTGGTAAAGAAGCACACAATTTTATTTAAACCGGTTGGCCTGAGATGGACCTGGCAGAGAATTACCAGAGATGGTAAAGTAGAGATTTCTGAAGTTGAGTTTCAAAAGGACTTTAGAAGCCATGTATCTCATTTTCATAGCCAAAGAAGGAATTACTCTATGACACCAACTACTGGTAAGACTTCAAGTACATCACCTGTATTCTTTTTGTCTATACTATTCTTTTGTCCAGGCTTTTCCTGACTTTTTTTTTTTTTTTTTTGTACCAGAGATTGAACCTGGGGAACTTAACCACTGAACCACATCCCCAGCCCTTTTTGTACTTTAAATTTAGACTTCTGAGTTGCTTAGGGCCTTGCTAATTTGCTGAGGCTCGCTTTGAACTAACAATCTTCCTGCCTCAGCCTCCCAAACTGCTGGGATTATAGGCACACACTATGTGCCTGACTTCTGATAATTCTAAATTGTTCCTCCAACTCTAGTACTGTAGTAGATATCAGGCTTTCTTACTCTACATGCTTCATGAGGGCGCAAAGACCAGGGTTTATTCATGTTACCTCATGACGCTTGGTGACTGTCAGACAGTAGGTACTTAATAACTACTGTCCAACTTAACTAAATCCCTGACAAAGGGGCCTCTAGGCATCACTTGATTTTTTTTTTTTTTTTTGGTGTTAATTTCCTGCAGCAGTTTGTTTATTGCTTTATCATTAGCCTCCTTTTATTCTGACTTCTATTGTTTATTATTTCTGAAGCAAAATTCGTTTACAGTGTTTGTTAGAGAAGCCACAGATTTTTAAATGTTTAGGAGGGGGGGAATAGAACAAAAAAAAATTTTTAACCCTGTCACTAAGTGCAGAGAATTCCATCCCACCAGCCTTCCTCACCAATTTAAGGGAGGAGTAAATGTAGGCAGAATATTTGAAAGCTGTGTGCCCTGTACAGTCTGTGACTTAAGACAACATTGAGAAATCCATTACCATCCTGCTTATCCTTTTCTTCTATTAGTTTGTTGATGACTCATAATATTTATATCCAGCAATGATCAATGAACTCTGCCATCTGATCAAACAGAGTACAGTTAGTATCGTTTTCTATAGTCTTGTTATAGATGTTTAAAAATGGCTCTCTTGCATGAGGAAAAGATTAACATTAAACAGAGACGAGTGGGGGGAGAGAAAGGGAGAGAGAAGGGAAACTATGGAAATGGAAGGAGACCCTCATTGTTACACAAAATTACATATAAGAGTTTGTGAGGGGAAAGGGGAAAAAAAAAAAAACAAGGGAGAGAATTAAACAACAGCAGATGGGGTTGAGAGGGAAGGGGAGGGGGGATTGTAGGGGATAGGAAAGGTAGCAGAATACAACAGTCATTAATATGGTATTATGTAAAAATGTGGATGTGTAACCGATGTGATTCTGCAACTTGTATTTGGGGTAAAAAATGGGAGTTCATAACCCACTTGAATCAAATGTATGGAAGATGATATGTCATGAGCTTTGTAATGTTTTGAACAACCAATAAAAAAAAATGGCTCTCTTAGCTGTCGTATTATCCTACAGATCGTATTAGAACAGTGCTTGGTTTCCAGATGATATTCACATTGTTAATCGTATTGATGAATGGCATCATGTTAGGGCAGCTCAGGGAGTCCAGGTCCTGTCCAAGTAAATGTGAGCTATTTCCTCAAGGCCTAGATTCTGATCAAATAAGTAGTAAACTATCCCTAACAAAAGGACTCACATTTTACCCCAAACTCACTGTACTTATTCTCTTTGAAGCCAGGTCTGCTCCTAAGGCCATAATAATGGAAATATAAAACATAAAATGGAAGCAAATAAGAATACTCAGACTCTTGCTTAAGGCCACTACCTAACACCTTAAGATACTGTAACTTGCAGACTACTTTTTCATTATGTTATCTCATTATGTCAGCTGAATACCATGACCATTTGAACCTTTGGGGCCCCAATCTGTTATAAAAAGCTAGTTCTAGGCCATTCTCTCTACCATGTCTAATACAGGATTTCCTCTGGGATTTGTCATGAGAACTAAGTAAAATAACACAAAAATACTTGGTAAGCTATAAACAATAGGTTATGACAATTGGTCTTTGTATATGTGTGTATATGTGTGTGTACTGCACTGGATAGCTAAGGTTCTACTTTTACTTTATACACATACACACACACACACACACACACATACACACACACTGTTCTCAAAAATCTGTTTAGAATGTGGCATACTGCTAGTTAAAACAATTTTCCCTACCTGTCACTTAGCCAATTCCACCAAAAGGGATTTTTGAAACTTGTTATTAAAATTGGTAAAGTTACATGAACCTTTCTCCCATTGATACTGCCATTCAAAGTGATTTCTGACGTTGCCAGGACCCCAACACTACCTTCTATTTAGCCTCTAGATTAAGAAGGCTCATTTCTCCATGAGACCCCAAGGAGACCTGTGTAAGTGTCAAAGACCATCCAGGAAGAGATTGGGAGCAGACTTACACATTTGTTCAAGTGTATAACAAGAAACATCAGCTGCTCTATAGAGAGCACATAGCCAAGGAACATATTTTCATCCTACTCTTTCCAGACTGTTCTGTACTTGGCTCTGAGTTCTAGGCCTAAAGTAGGACAGGAGACTAGAACCAAATATTTTCAAAGTGAGCTGCTCCAAAACAAACAGAACAGACCCTCTTGGAGGGTAGTAGTTTAAGATTTGGCAAGAAGAAAGGAATAAAGGAAAAGTAATTTTCAAATATATAGCCTTAATGGATGAAGAGAAGATTGATC